TATATATATATGTTGTTATAACAACTATCTTTATCAATTTTTTGAAGGGTTGTGTCGGCATATCTTGGAGTATGTCATACATCTTCTATATATCGAATTTTTTTTTATAACGCCTTGTAACGATGAATGTCTTTTGCTGAACAATTCATTTCTCCCTCTAATCACTTGGTTGTTATGCTCAAAGTCAAGAAGATTCTACCTCATATTGAGAAAGGGCTTTAAGAAATCTCATTATATGTGATATCCCGAATCGACAAGGTAATATGTCCCTGAATGATAACATTATTATTACATTTTTCAAATCGAACAAATAGTATTTGTGGTTAATATTGTCATGTGTGCTCTAAGACAAGGTAATATCTGTGATTACTAGTGTCATGAGCAAACTAAGATCATGTAGTATATGTGGTTAATAGTGTCATGTGTGATAACACCAGGCAGTACTTGTGGTTAATAGTGTGATGTGTGGTTTAGGAACATGTAACATATGTCATATAGTGTCAGGTGTGCTATAAGACCGGGTAGTATTTGCGGTTAATAATGTCATGTGTGGTAAAACTAAATAGTATTTGTGGTTACCAGTGCATGTGTGGTCTAAGACACTATAGTATCCACAGTTAACGATTTAATGTGTGTTTAAAGACTAGGTAGTATATATGGTTAACTCCGTGATGCATGCTTTAATATCATGTGGTATTTGTGGTAAACAAGTGAGGACAATTATATGTCATAAATGGTGATTGGTTGTGTTCTTTATTTTTTTCCTTCATTTCTCTACATAACATTACCGAAATCAAATGCATCAAAACCACTATTTCATATATAAATGCATAATAGTTCAGTCGTTTATATTGAAAATATCAACCAAATCACACCACAGTAAAAAAACTATCAATGCAAAATAACAACCAAAATCACACCCAACATCAACCACAACCGTCAATGCAAGGCCACAACTAAAACCACAACCAACTTCTACCAACAACCAACATTGCAAAACTATACCCATACCCACAACCAACAAGTCAAATGATTGGACTTCTTTGTGGTTGTAACATCTTTGAATTTTCTTTGTATCACATATATGATCCTTTTTTTAATTTCATTTTATTGTTCAATTGCTTTTCTATTTTTTATTACCCTTTTCAAAATCTCAGATGATTTAATTAAATTCACTTTCTAATCAGAATCAACTCAAGAAGAATGAATGACATTTCAGTGTCATTTTCTATTTTTTTTCCATTGTGGCTTCATTTTCATCTTTGTTGCATTTTTCTTTTACTTTTGTGATATAAATGAACTACATAAACAAAACTATAATGAAAATTTATATCTTAAAGCTTTCTTTGGGAGTAATTATGTTTTATGTTTTGTTTATAAAAATATATTTGTTTAGTGTGACTTTTACATGCTGTTGTAGCCAACATTTTTTTTTAATTAAGGCTAAAGCTTAAATTGATTTGTTTGTTAAATTTTAACAATAAGTGATGTATTTTTTATCATTTGAATTAATGGTTATACTCAATTATGAAATAAATGGCATATGAGAGTGGATAAATGAGTGCTTCTGTGAAAACTCCCATGCTATGTATTGTGGAGAAAGCAAAGTTAAGTATTTCAATTAACTAAAAAGGAAGGGTTATTAATTTTTACGAACATACCACTCAATTGTTATGTATTTACATATATAAAACCTAAACTTTAATTTTACTTACATAACACCTTACCTATGCATAGAAAGGTGTATCCCAGCATTTAAAAGTTGAAATGATGGTATTTTTTTATGTGATATGAAATATTTTAATGTTATAAATGTAAAAAAAATAAAAAATAATAGGGTGTAATTTTTACTACATCTACAATAGATCTCAGAAGATTTCTATTTAAATGATCAGACACATCATTTGAGGAATAATATATCATCCTAATGGACATGAAGATTACCTTAAAATAGATCTAATCAATATGATGAGGAAAATCATCAAGATTTATAGGTTTACAGAATTAGGTTTTCCCCCTATCTTATTGAGGCAATATACGATTTATTTTTTCTAAGATATGATATCATTATGAGGGGAATCCCTCGTATTTAATTATATTCCAAGAGTTGTGACTTCTGAGAATACTCTCTATTAAAGTATTGACTTATGTCGTCGTGCATGATTATTCGATAAATGTTTATGAGATTGATGTTTACAATCCAGATTGATACTCACGATATGCATGGAATTAAAGAATTGGGACATAACAATCCATTTATGATATGTCGGAAAGACTCAGGAAAATGGTTATTTAACTCTCAAAGAAAGCATACCCTAGAGATTATAAATTGATGAATTTGTGGTGAAGCGGTTGATTTGGATTCTTATTGTCTTGAATGAATTATGCATAGGTTTCTTTTTGAAAAATTTTTATTTAAATTTTATTTTAGAGTGGTTTTGCTTAAGTTTCATGGAAATGTTATGTTTAAGTTTTGAAAAGGTGTTACCTTTTTGAAAAAGTCTTCTAAATTTAATTTTTGTTTTTTTTAAGTTTTAAAAAGCTTTTAAGTTCTTAGTAAGATTATATTTTAGAAGGTTTTAAAAAGGTCTTGTTAAGTTTTTTTTCTTAAAAAGAGGTTTGTTATGTTTATTTTAAAGAGGTTTCAGTTAATTTAGTTTTGTTAAGAGGTCCCGATACATTTTATTTTAAAAGATTTTTTTTAAAATGTTTTGTTTTTTTGGGAAGTTTTATTTTTGTTAAAAAAGTTATTGCTCAAGTGTTTTTTTAAGAGGTTTTTGAAAAGATTTTTGTTTTCTTTTTAAAAATGGGTTTTGAGTTTTAATTTTTTAGAAGTTAAGGTTTCATTTAAACTTCAGAATATCTTTACTAAAAAAAGGTTTCAACTTTTAATTTTAAAAAAGGTTAAAGTTTAATTTAAAATTTAAAATATATTTACTAAAATAGTTTTACACACTAATTTTTGAACATGTTAAGTTTTTCATTTAAACTTTGAAATACATTTACATTATGAGAGATTCACTCTGTCTTCAGCGTGTATGATAGGTCTATTGAGATATTTTGCATTGGAGCACACATAAACTTATATTTTCCCCTCATCTCATAGTTCATTTTAAATTTCTATAAATTTATAAAAATATTCAATTTAGAGCATTTAAATTTGCATAACTATTTTAAAAATAATTAATTTTGAGCACTTTTCAAATTTATATGAATTTTGTAAAAAAAGTCAATTCATAGCACTTTAAGTTGATGTGATAATTTTTTTCTTAAAAGAGC